TTAAAATATGATTTTAAAATGCAAATGTTAATATAATATACTTTATGGCAGAGGATTTTTAAGAAGAGTTGGTTTGGATTTCTTTACCTTTTCATATTAGTGCTGATCTTTTTATCAAACTAAACACACTAATATTAACCCACTGAGAGGACTGTTTCTTTTTTTTTCTTTTTTTTTTTTTTTTTGCATTTTCAGCACATATAAGCAAATGAGCCGCTCTAACGTATTTAAGCAGAAAAGATAATGAAGTTAAATGAAAAGTCCCAGAGCTTAGTTTTAAGACTAAACAGTATTTTAGAAGAAACAGTTAAAGAAAGCAGAGTTTGTACCTCTGAGATAAGGGTAATGGCTTAAATCTACTGTTATGTTAGGAAGATTCTCCTTGAAGTTGTGTAGTTAATCAACAGACTTACACTTCTAACTGGATTGAGTTGCCTATGAGTCAGACCAGGGACATTTGATTAGGATTTGGAAATTGAAAGACCATTCTCAGTGGTACCACTTGCATGCTGGGAGACTGGGTAAGGCACTTCTGTTTTTTGATTTGCAACATGGAGATAATCTTCCCTTTTAATGCAAGATATATTGATCTCTAAATGAGCAATATTTTAAGTCTGTCATTCTCCAAGTTTGAATGGTTTCTCGAAATAACTTATGTTGGATGAGAGAAAATTAAGACCAGAAAGTAGTTTTGGAGACAAATTACTGTAAATAAGGTTACTTGAAGGTCTTGTATTGAAGTAAGGAAGCCCTCAAATAACTGCACAAGACATAAAATAGTGATTAAAGCAGTAAAGCAAAATGTGCATATCTAAGTGTTCAATAGATCATAAACAATGTAAATGAAACACATGCCAGCAATGCAGGCAGAGCTATAGCACACAGAAAGGTAGTGCACAGAACCAAGAAGGCATACGGCCAGAAAATCTCTGAGCAGGTACATACACATGCAAGTGCGCATGTGTGTTCATACATACATACTCACAGTCATGCAGAAGGGGCATGAGAAACACCTAACAGCCCTTAAGCTGGAAACCAACTTCAGGAGTCCCATGCTTTTGGTGGTACTTCACTCCTTCACCTACCCAATACAATTCAATTTACGAATGAATTATGGCTGTGAGGAGAGAAAAGTAGAACTGAGTCTAGATTGCAAAACCAACAGGTATTGCTGACATTCACTGTAGTATGCAATTATAAATATATGTAACTAGGTGCCTCAGAAACCACAAAATGACCCAAATCCTACTTTCCGCGTGATTTGGCTAGGCAAGCAAAATGTGATACCCCAGTAAGCAATGTAAATCAGAAAACAATGACCCTGAGGATTCAGAATCTATTCTATGATTTTTTTTTTTAAGACTTAAGGGAAAAGCAATTGTGAACCTAGCATTTTTTTTTCCAGAAGATAAAGTTAGTATTGATACCCAAAAAGTAGTTCAAGAACTAACTAGACGTCATTTCTCCAGATTTCTCTCCCATAGCTGACTGTCAATTCTAATACCTTTCCCCATGCTAAAGGCATTTCCAAGGCCTTTGCCTTAACTAGCAGAATATAAACTGACTTTAAAACCTTCTCTTCAGTGGGGGGACCAAACTTCTCACTCACCTTTCCTCCCACCCAAGTGACTGCATCCAAGAAATCTGTGGGACATAATTATCTTTCAAGATTCTATTCCTCTGTTCAAAACTTATTTGTTCAAAAACTATTTTGGTGAGCAAGAAGGCAAAGGAGGAGGAGGGAGATGCAGAGAGATGGAAGAGAGGATTGCATAAATTTAATTCCTTTGGAACAAAATATCACCCCATGCTTTCAAGTGAGCTCAACACCTCCCTGACACAGAACTTTCACTGAGGTGACTGACAGATAAAAGCCAAAGTTTATCTGCTGGTGCAGTAGATAAGGAATAATTTATTCTCTAGCCAATCGAGGAACACCTCTTTCAAATACTTTGGCTCCTCTAAGTTGAACTTCATCCAGACAAACTACGTCACAAGATTATAGAATGGGAGCATATACCGAGTCTAATTAATTTCCTAGCTTAACATATTGCTACCGAGAAAGAGCAAGAAACAGAGCATGGCCACAAAATCAAAATATATTTGAGATACTAAAGGAATACTTCCCTTGTTTAGTAATATCAGCTGTAAATCATAGAGATATAGATTTGTAGTGTCTCTTTGACATATTCCTTTTTGACTAGTGCTCTGGATAAACCAGACAAGAGAGAATAAAATAAAACTTAGAGACATATATATATGTGTATATATATATATTTCTGGGAACCAGGAAGACATCTTCCACCTAGTTAATACTCTTAGGTATAATAGAAGTTTTAATGATATTTGTTCTGAAGGAAAACAAAAATATCCACATGGAAACATGCAAATTTGTACTTCGGGAAGGACAAGAACAGAAATGCAAATGAAGAAATCCTTCTCTCTCCACTTGAGGTGTTCAGACCCTGTAGCTTCCTTTCTCCTGTGCTGCATGTACTTCCTAGGTGACCACAGAATTAAATGTCAGCTTTCTTCTCTCCTCTAAAGGGACTTCAACAGTCTGTTTACCTACCATTTGACCTCTTCTATGCCAAAATGTTTTCAAAAAGTATGCCTAAAATTAGACAATGCAGATTTAGGTATTTAAAATGGCTGGAGTTTCAGAAAAGCCAAGTGGTTTCATCCATAAATTAAGGTCAGTGTAATTTTGCAATTGCTCAAAATCTCTATGTTATCAAGGGACCAGACAGCAAAGTATGCAACAGTGGGACATATCTTGTACTAATGAATTTATTTAGTGTGTCTGAACCAAAACAAATAATTTATACAGTCATAGCACAGATTATGACTCTAGTTGCTTATTCTTCTGATATCATTTGCTGAAGCTGAATCATTAACTTCTTGAAATCTCTTATGGTAGAAAATGCAGAAGGGTGAAAACAGAAAGGTATTCTTATTTAGCCTGCATGAATTTACTTAACCAAGATGGCATCTTACTATATTTTAAGGAACAGACATCATAAACAATAAACAACGTTTAGCATGTACTAAACATGGTATTTATGTTTATAAAAAAAACTATTTTGTTTTTTGCTTCTCTACAAAAAACTACATTGTATTTAAAGCAGGTACCCCAACTACTTATTACATGTAATAGCATGAAAATATAACAGAAATTTTAGGTTTAATGCACTGGCAGGAGTTCTATACAATTACTGCAATTACAATTAAGTTTGTGCTCATCAGAGATTAGAGTACAATATCCTTTACTCAACTTAACATGTAGCTTTGCCTAGGAGAGATTCAAAAAATTCAAAAACTTACAAATACACTGCTCCTTCCTGAAACATATCTGTAGATGTCAAGTTCCCAGTGGTCTCATTTTAATCATGCAGTGTTAAAATCTCTTGTGATACCTTAAAAAATAATTCCCTCTATTGCAATAGATATGATCTGGCAATAAAATGAAGCCAGGAAAATCTTCTGTTAGTCTAACTCTTTTAAGAGGGGAAACACCTTGGTTGTCATAGCCAAAACAAATCTCATCTGTTCCAACAGCAATCGTTAACACTCCTGTCCTAGGTAGTAAGGAAGCCATGTGTGCTCTCATAATAATAAACTGCAGAAAGGGAAAAGCCAACCCCCTCACATCCTAACTGCCAAACAGGGAGCTTGTGGCTCACAGCCAAACAATCAGGAGCACTGTGATATGGATATACCGCGACATGGAGAAACCTTCCCATCTTGTCCATACTAATAGAGAAAAATTAAGAGAATTGACAAAAAACAGTATATACTGAGGGTGGAGAATGGGGAAACAAATGAAGATGGTACTACAGGACAGCATTTTGAAGTTTCCTATGAACATGCGTCACTTTTAGAAGACCAAGACATTCCAAAATAGCTTAAGCAAAAACTGTTTAATTATGTGTCTCCTTGATCAGAGGAGCGGACAAGGGCATTTCCAACTCTTGCTGCCTCATTGGAAAGCAAGTCATCAGGAAGTCAGACAATCTTCCTATCCTGCTACAATGAAAATGGGAAAAGATGAGGTTTATCCACCTCCTTACATCTTGTGTTTCTGCCTTTGTTCTCTTGTGAGGCTTTTGTCCTCACTGTTGTTAAGAGAATGCAGCAAATGCTTCTTCTCAATTCCTTTCATCCCCAGGCAAAGAAAAGAGACTCAGCCCTCCACAGAAGGGAGGTTCATCCCTTAGGAAAGGGACACTCTACAAGGAGGAAAAGGCAACAATGCCAAGACCATATCTGCCACTGATTCTTCATGTCAAAAATTCCTGTGCCAAATCAAAATTCCTGTGCCAAATCAATTTTAAATTTACATCTCTCAGAGGCTAAGCAGGTAGCTGCCCCCCAAAAAAAAAGTATCAAAGGGGGAATACTTCCTTTTCCACCTTTCCAAGGAAATGAACAGCTGAAGACTCCATATGGCTCCTTTGAAGTTTAGTCCATTGCTTGCTCCGCAAAGATTCCCTTTGATTCTAGGTGAACCTTCTGCAGAAGGAGTTTGCTCGCCATATGTAATGTTGGCAGGATAAGATCCCTTCCCTCCCATCTCACCTTTGGGAGAGAAGAAGGAGAGATGAACATCAAGGCTCAGTATGCCAAGACTTGACAACATGTTTACATGCCAAAGTGGGACTCTTGCTTTGAGCATCAGCCACAACAGCTCTGCAGTACTTCGGCTAGTTCCCTAACAGAAATCAATAACAAGCTGCCTTTTAAGAAAGCCAATGTTTGTTCATTGGCACAGTGGGCAATTCCTTTCAGTAGAAGCAACAGTGTTTACAAGGTGTGCTGTGGAAAACCTCAGAACAGCAAGATGACCAGAAGCAACAGTCTTTACAAGGTGTGCTGTAAAGGTGGAAAACCTCAGAACAGCAAGATGACCGAAAATGTTTTATTTCAGTACAAACGTGAAACATAAACCTAAGTATACCAAAAAGAAGAGTAATTACTAACAAAGCAGCAGGTGCTTTTACCTGGAGACCGTTCTTTTCTATCTTTTTTTGCAGTATATGAAGGCACTTGGTGAAGTCGGTGGATTCCTGATCCATCGTCTCTATGAACTCACATCCCTAGTCAGGGAGCAATAAAACAGAAAGAAAAGTAAAACATTTGTCATCTTTCAATTCCAAGAACTTTGGTTATTAACAGTTAACAATTGAGTTAACAACTTCTAAAGTCTTCACATGGAGATGCAGAATTAATGAAAGACTATTATCCTTGGAAAACCTGAAGACTCTAAGTCCTAGATGGATAAATTATAAAGAAACAGGTGTTAGAAAGGCACAGGATTAGATTTCCCAAACCCAGAAAAGTACATTTGTTGTTTTGGATGTTTTATGATGCTCTGCTGGACTGACAAATTTTTACATGATGAGTAGTAAGTAACTTCTGTTCTAGGAAAATGACTATCTGCCTTCTTTGGTTCTACAGGTTATTACATTTTTGCTATATGCATTGAAACATGATGTAAAGATGTCAAGCTTCCTGAAACTAGTACAGTTGTGTTAGTTAATTTGCAGTGATACAATAACAACCTTCTTGCAGTGCAGCAATATGAATTAGAGCATGTTCAAGTGGACAAAAACAGTTTACACTTCTTAACTGAGAGCTAAAGCAATTCTCAAACCTCTGATAAAGTGCTGAGTAAGCAAAAGTGAAGTACATCTACCACATAAAATCGCCATTCAAGTTGGTTTCAAGGATAAAAATATCCATGCGGTATCATAAATTATAATAAGAATCACACAAGCTGGATTTAGAGGTTCCCTTTTTTACCACTTTGAGGTACCCTTAAAAGCTTCATAGCTTTGTCTTTATCTGACATATTTTATGTTCCTGCAATACACAGTAATAACTGATACAATAAATAAACAAAAAAGAGAGTATAGAATTTTTGCATGTGTGCATATGTGTATAAACTACATTACTTTGTTAAATCAAAAAATCCTCAGTCAGACTGCATCTATCTTAGTGATGAGAACAAAGATACAGAAGACACAATTTCCCAGATTGGCAATATGGAGAGCATTTAGTGGATTGCAAGCAACAATGTAATGAGTCTCCAATTGGAAGACATACATTATCACCAAAATGCTGCCCTGCTCAGCCAGAACACACATAGAAACAAAGCAAATTTGTTTCTATAACAGAGAGGACTGAAAACTACCAAAGGAAATTTGTTAATCAAGGCCCACTCTAAATGGAAAGATGCTTCCAACAGTAAGAATAGAGTGTTTTCAGGCAGCCTCAAAACTGTCAATAATAGCAGCAAAGAGACCAAGCTTTGAGAAACTACAGATAAACAGAATCTCCCCAGACTTTCACAAACAGCCTTTGAACACATGGCACATGAAGACTAAATCAATGGCAAGGACAGGTACTGCTGAGCACGGGAGATAAGACAGTACCTGATTTGCCAGCTCTTAAATTAACAGTAAAAAAGGGTGGTCTTTTATCTTGTGCCAGGATCATTTCTTGGCTCCTCAGTGCTGGCAAAGTCAGTCGTTTATAGGTATTGATTTATAAATAATAGATTTAGACCTCCACTCCGTAC